CTCAGCCTCCTGACTAGCTACTAATTTTTGTACTTTTAGAAGAGATGGGGTTTCACCATGTAGGTCAGGCTACTCTCGAACTCCTGGCCTCAAGTGATCTGCCCACCTCGGCCTTTCAAAGTACTGGGCTTACAGGTGTGAGCCACTATGCCTGGCCTAAAATCTCAGACTTTATCAAATTACTTTCTATGACCCAGAGCTTAAACTTCTGTTTTTTGGAATTGAACACAACCTGGTTTCTAACTATTTCTCTGGCTTAATTTTTATTTTTATACATAAACACTTGACCCTTTGAGAGGAGGTGGCTCCAGGACTCTCCTGCTGATCCCCAAATCCAAGGATGCTGAAGTCCATTATATAAAATGGCATAGTGCTGTATATAAATAACAAACACCCTTGCTCTGTTAGCAATTCAAACTCTAATGAGGGAAAAATATTTGAAGTTCAAAAAGTGTCAAGATTTATATTACTCTTTCGTAGATGTTCTTCATATTCATCTAGAGAACCTCTATTTATTTTTGAAAGATACCAGAAATCTCTTTTCTAACCACCTACTTTCTTACGCAGAATGGAATTGAGCACTGAAATCTCTGTATACTTCTGTTACAGCATCTCAAATGTTTTCATTTACCTGTTTGTTTACCTCTCTATTTTGCTCTTCTGAACTGACAGTTCTGTGTCAGAGTTTTTGTTTTGCATCTTTTGTCATTAATCTAACTGTGGTAATCAGTGTGTGGTATGTAGTTAAATAATAAATGTTAAATAAATAACAAGCGTTATTGTTATTTAATAATAAATTAAATAACTAACGTTTATTTACTCACTAATTTACATTTGTTATTTAATAAATAAAAAAATGTAAATTAGTAAATAAATAAAAAAATTAACATTTATTTAATAACAAGGGTTAATTAGTGAGTAAATGAAGGTATTAGTTCATTCCGCACTGATATGAAGAAATACACAAGACTGGATAATTTATGAAGGAAAGAGGTTTAATTGACTGAGTTCCACACTGCTGGGGAGGCCTCAGGACACTTACAATCATGGCAGAAGGCAAAGGAGAAGCAGGAAGCTTCTTCATAGGGTGGCAAGACAGAGTGTGGCATGCAAACAGGAGAAATGTCAGATGCTTTATAAAACCATCAAATCTTGTGAGACTCACTATCGAGAACAGCATGGGGAAACTGCCCCCATAATCCAATTACCTCCACCTGATCCTGCCCTTGACAGGTGGGGATTATGGATAATACAGGGATTACAATTCAAGATGAGATTTTGGGTGGGGACACAGCCGAACCATATCAATGAAGAAATGAATTAATGTTAAGTTAGTGTTATTGGATCTCCAGAGTTGCACTAGAATAGACTTTAATTCTGGTTGCCTGCACTGGTAACTGTACTTAAATGATTTCTGGGAGAAAATAGCTCTCATTTGCAAGCTGCTTTTTGGCAGTCCTTACTGTCTTCCCCTAGCACCCAGCAATTTTGTAGCAGATCTTTGTTATTGGGTGGAGGTTTATTATGGCTTATACTTTATTTGTATACAATTTACTTGTCATCTTAGCCTAGAAGGGTTGTTTCTGATTTGTAAATAATTTGAAATCTCTGTAAGGATGTTCATCAGCTAGAATTGCTCATATTATTTTATATATATTTGCTATCATTGTTGTTATTGAGGGTAGATCACAGAGCCTGGGAAATAATCCTTTGGTTGGTTTTCAAAATTAAGCCAAAACGAAAAGTAGTATATTTCCCCTTCTTCCATTAGAACTGTAGCTCTTGTTATGAATTCTGGTAATAAATTACTTCATTGAAGTCAAATAGTTTATGATGTTCCTTGGCAGGGAAATCTTGAAAATATTTTACTGTTATAGCAAATTTCACACTAAGCTGTATTTCAAAAAGTCATTAGTAAAAGTTCTGGAAAAAGAACAGTCACCATCAAGTGATATGCTACCAAAAGATGGATTGCTACTATTTTAGATGATTTAGTTGTGCTAGTTATATGGGATTTTTATGAGTTGTGCTATGCATGATTTCCAGTAAAACTTTAATTTTAAATGTAAACATTTATTTAAATGCTTAATCCACTTCTAACATAAATATTAAGTTGTGTGTTCTTATAAATTTGTTTAATGTTAGAACTTATCTATATATAGGCACATTCTACATTGAAATAAATGAAATAATTTTCATCCTAGCTTTTTGTGGATAATATTTCTATTTGCTGAGTGATGGAAAAGTAATTAGTTATGAAATGAGATACAAACTATGATAGATTCTTCTGTAAGTAGAACATTTCAAGTTTTATCTTGGTTCTTGCAAGAATATTTAGTACTTATACATGATTTTTCATTGTGTTCAAATGTGCTCAGCTGCAAAGGGAGTAGTGACTCAGATAATTCAATATAGGGAATAGTCCAGAATTTGACCTTTAAATTGTTTTGGAATTTGCATTCAAATATTGATATCTCTGAAAGAGGTATGAGCAGCACTTTCCACAATATAGTAGACAGTCCAGTAATGTCTTTATCTTGAAATAAACTGCAGATTGCCCAACTGTTTTTTATTATCTAAAACAAAACTGCCTTTATTTCTGTATTGTTGCAATTTTTTATCTGCTTTTAGTATGGGATATAATAATTTGGTCTTAAAAGGTTTTCAGCTTTTGAAAATCTTCAGTTATCTCTTGCCTCTCACCTACCAGGCTGGCCTGATGTGATACCACCTGCTTTTATATATACATATATATATATATATATGATACATATATATATATGATACATATATATATATATATATATGATACATATATATATATATATATGTATTTTTTTTTTTTTTTTTGCCAGTTTTTGCTGTAGTAGCACCTGCTTTTCTTTGTGGCCATAACCATTACTCTAAAATTTGAGAGTAATTAAAAATTACAATCTAGTATAATGAACAAGGTAGACATTGGGCCATTTATTCATTTTTAAAACCTCTCTGTGTATATGTGTGTCTGCCATATACCAGCTTTTTTTTGAGGATAGAGTATCCTAAGATGATAGATACTCTTTGAGAACCTTATATTTTGCAGTTTGGCAAGGGGGTGGTGGTAGGGGAGATAGGTAAAAAAATTACAATATATTGTCATAAGTTCTGTGATTGAGATAAGGAAATGTCATAGGAATGTGTAGGAGGGTCATTTAACCCAGAGTTTGAAATTTTGAGCAGCTGGTCACATCTGAATTGAGTTTTGAAGGATGAGTAGAAATTAACCAGGTAAAGAGGAAAATAAGCCTGGAAAACCTCTAAGACGATGTGACCAATACAGGAGATTAGCCTTAGAATAAATAGTGGCTATCATTTATTGAGCTCTACCATGTGCCAAACTCTGTGATAGGAGTTTGAAACCACTTACTTCAGTGTAACTTGTGGGGCAGGTGCTATTATTCATAGTTTGTAAATGAAGAAACAGAGTCACAGGTTTCCTCAAGTCATCATGTGGTTAATTAACAGTATTGCTAGTTTAAAAAACTCTAACTTTTCTGGCTTTTTCTTTCTGTAGGCTATTTTCTCCCAGCAAATGACAGTTTCAAGATGGAGGAGACAAATAGTTACCATGCTATTGAAAGTTCTATAGGTAGATTAATTCTGAAAAGTCTGCAGAGGGATTTATAGTGATTTGTTTGTTCATTTAGAACTGTTTACTGAGAGCCTCTTATGTGCCAAGAACTGTGCTAAGAATTAGGAATAAAATGATAAATGCCAAAGTTGAGGTAGAGGGTGAAAGAAAGCAAGGACACTGAGTGAAGCCATAGTTTGAAAAAGCTGGATTGCAAAGGAAAAGATGACGATTGAGCAATACATTTTAGGGGAAGTCAGTAGTCTTTTAGTTTTTGTTTGTTTGTTTTTTTCCTATGGGAAGTATTAATACTTTGTTTATATGCTGAAGAGAAAGAGCCATAGCAGGGGAAAGATAGAAGATATAAAAGAAAGAGCTGCTAGGTCACATGTTTAATTAAGTAGCTGGTGAGATGATTCTTGAATTTATAATGGATGTATAATTTTAGTATGATTAGCCTGTTCTTGAGTAATGAGACTTGAATAAACAATGAAACCTCTTATTTAAATGTTCGCTGTAACCTCTTATGTCTGATTTATGCATTCCTCTTTATTGTCCCTCAGTTATTCTGACCTTGCTTCTGTTTATCATAGGATTTGTTATACTGAATTAGAGTCATTGATATCTACCTGTTAGATGATATGCTTCTTGTGTGGGAGGGATGAGAAGAGACTATGTCTGATGCCACCTAATGACTGGTATAATCTTACTTCAGTAAATGCTTATTGAATCAGTGAATCAATGAATAACTTGGACTTTCTTATTTTTTTGTTTTTGAACAATTTTCTTTTTGACTCTGAAGGGTTAAAAGGTATATAGCTACCCTGTGAAGATTTTGTTTGTTAAAAATTAAGTACTTAACACTTTAAGGTATGCCCTAGAATAGATAAAAAGAGAACTTTAAAAATTTTTGACGTTGAAAGGATCTTGTTGGTTATTTTTTGGGAAACTCTGTAATGATTATTTTATACAAAGGTTACAATATGCTTAAAATAATTTCTAATATTAAAGTATGGTAAGCAGAAATTAATAAAACAGGCTTTATTAATTTCTTTCAGTTTATGGTGGTTTGCTTGCTGTGAGATTTTTCTCTAGGCATAGTAAGAAAAATAAAGAATTGCAAGATATAACCAAATTTTAACGTAAAATATGTTTCTATTATTACCTTGGGAACAATGTTTTATCAGCAGTCATAATTGTTAGGGCATTTAAAAATGACAGTTGCAATTCATAATGATGATTTAGTCTGTTCATTTCCTGAGGTCCATTAGATTCTGTTTGCTTTTTATAATTCAGAATATTGAAATTTATGCCAAAGTATGGTTTACCTTAAATATCAAAGTACACTTAATTAAGAAAGAAATAGAGAGTCTTTTAGGTTTTTCCAGATTTTTTGATATAGACCTTTCTTTTTTTTGAGATGGTCTGTCGGCCAGGCTGGAGTGCAGTGGTGCAGTCTCGGCTCACTGCAGCCTCCTCCTTTTGGGTTCAAGCAACTCTCCTGCTTTAGCCTCTCGAGTAGCTGGGTCTAGAGGCACCTGCCACCATACCTGGCTAATTTTTAGTAGAGACAGGGTTTCACCATGTTGATCAGGTTGGTCTTGAACTCCTGACCTTAGATGATCTGCCTGCCGTGGCCTCCCAAATTGCTGGGCTTACAGGCGTGAGCCACTGTGCCCAGCCTGATACAGACCTTTTCACTCCTCTTGATAAGCTGTGATTTAAAGGAAAAATAAATTTCTAATTTTTCTTTATGAATTATACTATCAACAACTACTGGTTCATTTTTATTCTTGGATTAAATTAAAATTTCAATTTATATTTATAATAAGAGATAATTTCATAGACTGAGTTTCTTAGATTTATCCTTTTAGAGAGTTAAAATCAATTCATCAGTTCAGAGACCCATTGTATCTAGAAGTGTAGAAAAAAGATATCTTCATACTTTTTTTTTTTTGGGAGGAAGGGAGGAAGGCAGGAAGGGAGGGAAGGAGGAAGGGAGGAAGGAAGGAAGGGATGAAGGAAGAAAGAAAGGGAGGAAGGGAGGAGGGAGGGAGGGAGGGAAGGGAAGGGAAGGAAGGAAATCAAGCAATGAGAGAGACATTGCCGACCTGGATCTAGAGGTTTACAAGTTGATTTCTTTTTTTTTTTGAGAGAAGGAAAGAAAAAAAAATGAGGAATGGAGAGGAAGAAAGAGGAAGAAAAAGAGGGAGGGTGAACGGAAATATTGCTTTATTCTGAAAAAAAAAATGGGTATTAATAATGGCCAATCAATGTTTTATTTAAACCTATGAGTAGGTGTGATGTGGTATTGACAAGAATGTATATTTTGTGTATTTGAAGTGGAGAGCTCTATAAATATTTATTAAGTTTACTTGTTCCGTATCTGAGTTTGAGTCCTTGATATGCTTATTAATTTTCTGTCTCATTGAGTGTAAGTCTCTATGTATCTGGGTGTTAGGATCGTTAGCTCTTGTTGTTACATTGATCCATTTACCACTCTATCTTTGTTGCTTTAAAATCTATTTTATCTGATACGAGAATTGCAACTCCTGCTTTTTATTTATTTATTTATTTTTGCTCTCCATTGGGTTGGTGAATCTTTCTCCATCCCTTTGTTTTGAGTCTTTGTGTATCCTTGCATGTGAAACAGGTCTGGATGTAACATGCTGTTGGGTTTTGGCTGTGTCTTTTGATTGGGGGATTTAGTCGATTTAAATTAGGGTTACTGCCATTTGATGTTAACTGGCTGTTTTATCAATTTGTTGATGTAAATTCTTCTTTATGTTGGTGCTCTTTACTTTTTAGTATATTTTTAGAAAGGCTAATACTGGTTGTTTCTTTCTGTGTGTAATGCTTCTTTCAGAAGCTCTTGTAAAGCAGGCCTGGTGGTAATAAAATCTCTGAGTACTTGCTTGTTCATAAAATATTTTATTTTTCCTTCAATTGTGAAGCTTAGTTTGACTGGATATGAAATTCTGGGCTGAAGGTTCTGTTCTTTGAGGATGTTGAATGTTGGCCCCTACTCTCTTCTGGCTTGTAGAGTTTCTGCCGAGAGATCTACTGTAAGTCTGATAGGCTTGCCTTTGTGGGTAACCTGACCTTTCTCTCTGGCTGCCCTTAGTATTTTCTCCTTCATTTCAACCCTGGTGAATCTAACGATTATGTGCCTTGGGGTTGCTCTTCTTGAGGAGTATCTTTGTGGTGTTCTCTGTATTACCTGGGGTTGAATATTGACCTGCTTTGCTAGTTTAGGAAAATTTTCCTGAATAATATCCTGAAGGGTATTTTCCAGCTTGGATTCATTCTCTCCATCGCATTCAGGTACACCTATCAAACATAAATTTGGTCTTTTCACATCGTCCCACATTTCTTGGAGATTTTGCTCATTCGTTTTTATCCTTTTTTCTCTAATCTTGTCTTCTCGTTTTATTTCATTAAGTTGGACTTTGACCTCTGATATCCTTTCTTCTGCTTGAACAATTTGAGTGTTTAAACCTGTGCATACTTCTCGGCGTTCCTGTATTGTATTCTTCAGTTCCATGAATTCACTTATATTCCTCTCTAAGTTGTCTATTCTCAATAGGATTTCATCAAACCTTTTTTCAAAGTTCTTAGTTTCTTTACGTTGGGCTACAACATGTTCTTTTAACTCACAAAAGTTTGTTATTATCCATTCCCTGAAGAGTGATTCTGTTATTGAGATGCGCTTGTTCTCCATCAAGCCTTGTTCCATTGTTGATGTGGAACTGTGATCATCTTTAGAGGGAGAGGCGTTCTGATTTTGAGTATTCTCAGCCTTTTTACGCTGGTTTCTTCCCATCATTGTAAATTTATCCTCCTGTCGTCTTTGAAATTACCAACTTTCAGATAACGTCTCTTGAGTGGAAGTCCAAGTTGTTAGTTCCCAGGGCCAGAACAGCGGTCTTAAGACTGATGGTGCTTTTCTGCCCAGGATTCTCCTGTTTGGCTTCCTTCTTGTGTCCATAATAGGCAGCTCTGCCTTCCCGGGGCTCTAAACCTTGGTCAGAAGGGTAATCAGTCCCATTTACTCTGCCCCAAGAGCTGCCGCGCCGAGGTGCCGTCACAGCCGCTGCACTGGTCTCAAGAGTCGTGCTGGGGACCCATGTGGGTTTTCCAAACCTCAGTCAGAAGGGGAGCCAGCCCTGTTTACTCTGCTCTGAGAGCTGCGGCGCCGAGGTGCCGGTGAAACCGCTGCACTGGCCACAAGAGTCGCGCTGGCGACCCATGTGATTCCTCCACTGGGGATCTTCTGCTCCGTGAGCGACCAGAATTTGTCAGAAAGTGTGGCGTCCTCTAGTTTTCTGCACTTTCCCTGAGAGCTGCAATCCCGAGATGTTAGTGATCGGCCATCTTGGATCAGTCCTCATCTTCATACTTTTTTGTTGTTTTTTATTATGCTTTGTGTTTAAATGATACAATCAAAAAAATTAAATTTCCTGTGAATGTGGTATGTAGTTCCTCATAAATATGTTATTTTACCATTAACGTCATGGAGTTTTCTTGTTTCAGAATCCTGTCCACAAGATTCCTGACTCACATGAGATAACGCTGAAACATGGCACTAAAACAGTAAGTTTAAAATTCTAGTTTTTTACCTCCCAAATTACAGGGCTGTCATGGAAAAGTGAACTAATAATATACATTTGTATTAAGGCTAATTACACAATCAACTGATGACATAAAAGCTATAGACGTTAAGGAAAAATAGATTACGTTTATGTTCAGTCAAAATAGCCATTTCCTTTCAGTTAAAATAGGAACACTTATTGTTATTGTTATTGTTGGCTTTAAATACCTCTTATTCTTTAATATAGGAAAATTATAAGTGGAAGAAAGAAATGAAACTCAAACACAATTTTGCTTTTTATGGTGTGGGAAGATTTCTCATTACCCTTAGCTTTACTTCTATATCAGTAAAAGACATGAATTTGTTCATTTTTAAGATGAATCTTGAGATAAGAAATAAACTTTAAGTAGTTACTGTATGTCACTAAGGTTATATTATTAATACTTATGTTGTTGTATTTACTCGTTTGAGTAATCTAAAATATTTAAAGATGAATAATGTAAAATATTTGAGAAATAAAGTGAAATCATTGTATCTTATTGCAAAACCACTAAAAGGCCAGGCGTGGTGGCTCATGCCTGTAATCCCAGCACTTTGGGAGGCCAAGGCAGGCGGATCACGAGGTCAGGAGATCAAGACCATCCTGGCTAACATGGTGAAACCCTGTCTCGACTGAAAAAATTAGCCAGGCGTGGTGGCATCCATCTGTAGTCCTAGCTACTTGGGAGGCTGAGGCAGGAGAATTGTTTGTACTTGGGAGGTGGAGATTGCAGTGAGCCAAGATCACGCCACTGCGCTTTAGCCTGGGCGACAGAGCAAGACTCCATTTCAAAAAATAATTATGTTAAATATAATGGATTTATTGTTCTTTTAAATGAAATGAAAAAGATTTAAAAATATCTTTGTTTTAATTTATAGTGGAAATAGCTATACATAAACTCACATAAACAAAAGCTCTTTGGAGTACTCAATAGATTTTAAGACTGTAAAGAGTCTTGAAATGCAACAATGTGGGAATTGCTGCCCTAAGAAAATTATTTCCATCTAATTTTTAATATGTTTATTTTTTGTTAAATCAGGTTTCTTATATTTTTATTCTGAAATTGTGATGGAATTCTATTTTTTGTGTTTTTAAGTAAATAAGAAAAAATGTAGACTGAGTTCTTAAAAGGAAGTTTTTCTGTCATCTAGTCTGTAGAATTTTATAGCTGAGGGATGGGTCATGAATTTCACAAGTTTAATTTAAATATTCCTTTTTTTTGGAAAATTAAGTTTTATCTTGTAGAGAAACATAACTTAAAAAATACTCCAATATCTACTTGATTTTACACACTGAAAATCAATTAGAGTATCTAATTTTACTCTTGGATTAACTTTGTCCTATATGCAAATATTTTAAAATAAATGTTGGTCTAGAAGATGACTTTTGTATCTGATCTTTTTTTCCTTTTAAACGAGTTATTTAAAATATGTCCATAAGGCAAATCTTATTTGTTTCCTATATGCTTTACATTTTGGTCCCCCTGTCCCCACTTTACGGGATTTTTTAAAAGCAAATACCTGACTTCATATGATTTCATCTGTAAATTATTTCAGTATGATTCTCTAAGAGATAATATTGGGCTGTCTCTGCCTCCCTCTTTCTGAATATGCACACATACACTCTCTCCTACATAATGACATCTTTATTATATTTAATTTTTTCAGTAATTATTTAATCTAGTATCCCATTAGTGTTCAAATTTCTCCAGTTTTCCCATCTTTTTAGAGTCAATTTGTTCATATTAGTCTCGTAATGATGTCTGATGTACTCTTAGGAGAGTTATCATTATGCTTATTTTTTAATCTCTTAATTTATAACAGTTTTTCTGCTCTTTCTTTTTGCCATTGAAGAAACATGTATATTCATTTAGTGAATATACTTACTATGGCCTAATAGTCAACTGAACCCTTCCCAGTGAATGTGATGATAAAGTCTAAAGCTTCTTGAAAGAAGGAGAGGGTGATACACATTAATTCTCTTAACATAAAGGATTAAACTGAAAATGTTTGTGCTCATTCCCAAGTTGGAATAAGATACTTTCTTGTTTTTTTTTTCTTGAGACAAACCTTATTAGGACAAG